TACAGTTAATTATTTAAATGGCTATAAATAAATAAATAAAGCCACATGCCTCCTGATATCATGCACTGACAAGAACATAACATTGCTGTGGTCGTCCTGCCCAAAGTGCATAACCTGAATCTAAGAACAAGAACAAACTCAGATGGAGAGGAAATTTACAAAATAAGCCTGAACCTTCCAAAATATCAAGGTCATAAAATACTCAAGAATTGTTTTAAACTCGGGCCAACAGATGGTGTGGTGGTTAAGGCACTGAACTCCCACATGGATGGCTGTGGTTTGAGCCGCAGACCTGAAGGCTTGAAAATCACACTGGCATATGTGTGTGCATGCCCAAAATCCCGACAAGAGAATCTCCCTGGGAAGGTGATTACACACTTTTTTTTTTCTTTTAAGAATGATTATTTATTAGGACCAGCAGATGGCGTAATGGTTACATCACTAGACAACCACATAGTCGATCGCAGTCTGAATCCCGGACCCAATGGCTTAAAACTTATGCCAGGCACATGTGCATGCATGCCCCAAATCCTGAGAGTAGAATGGAGAAGGGATTGTACCATGGCCATCCCCTGGAGGGCGACTTCTTGCCTTCAGTCTCTCCGGCGAGTGCATGTGCCCTAGAGCAAAAATCTCTCTCAAAAAAAGAATATGTGTCTGTGCGTGTGTTTAATTAATTTAATTTATTATTATTATTACTTTAATTCACCAAAGAGAGAGGGAAAGCAAGTTGTCCACCAGGTTCAGGACTTGAACCGCAGTTGGCCATGTGGGAATCCAGTCCCTTAACCACCATGCCACCTGATGGCCCCTTCACTTTTCCTTTCTTTCTCTATTCAGTGAGCGTCCATGCCCTATGGCAAAAATCTAAAAAAAAAAAAAACAAACAAACAGAAAACCACAATGAATTGTTCTAGACTAAATGTAATGCAGGATCACGGATTGTCTTCTGTTCTAAAAAATATTTGTGGAGGCCCAACCGTGATGGTGCACAGGCTCAGCATGTGACACCAGGACAAAAATACCTACCTCTGTCTCTCTCCCCAGGACCAGATGTATTCTCTCGGTCAGGCAGTCACAGAGAGCAAAGGAGGTGTCAGAAACCCCACTTCTTGACATTAGGAGGAGTGTCAAAGAATTTTGCGGCTATAATTTCAAAATGCACACTATTTACTGATCCATTCTTCTTTTTTTCTAAGGAATTATTTTATTTAAATTTACTTATTTTTTTTTACTTATTTTAATTTGGCCAAAGAGGTGGGGAGAGAGAGAGAGAAAAAGAGAGAGAGAAAGATAAAGTGAGAAAGCAAGCCACTAGGTCTGGGACTCAAACCGCCATTGGCCATGTAGGAGTCCAGCGCCCTTAACCACCACACCACTTGCCAGTCCTCCATTCTTCTTTTTCAATATCAGCTTAATTGAGATATAACACACATACCATAAAGTTCACCCTTTTGAAATATACACATCAGCAGGTTTTACAACAGGTATTCACAGAGCTCCACAGCCATCATGACTATTGACTTCTAGAATGTTCTCATCACCCTAAAATGAAACCCTGTACCTTTTAGCAGTCTCTCCCCCTTCTGATCCCCCAGCCTCTGCAATCACTAATCTGCTTTCCACCTCTGTGATTTGCCTCTTCTGGACATTTCATATCAACTCAATCTTATGCCGTGTGGCTTTTGGGGACTTCTTGCGTGTTGCACGTTTTAAAGCGCATCGTGTTGTACCATGTGTCAGCACTTCCTTCCTTTCTACGGCTGAGTGATAGTCCACTGCGGACACACCACGTTATCCCTTCATCGCCCGACGGACACTTGTTTCCACTGTCTGGCTATTTTGAACAGTCTGCCACGAACACTGTGTACAGGTATTTGTTTAAGCAGCTGTTTTCAGTTCTTTGAGGTACATACCTGGGACTGGAATGACTGGGTCACATGGTAAGGCTATGTCTAAACATGCCAGTTAACAAGTAGATTTTCCCCACAGCAGCTGTGTCTCTCCAGCTCCACCTCATTGCCAACTCTTGTTACTGTCTATTCTCATTATGGCCATCTGAGTGGGGAGAAGGGGCCACCCATCCGGTCTCGAGTATTTAAACAAATACTCCTGAGTACTTCCTCTGTGCCTGGCCCTGAGGACCTGCAGGTGGATCTCCTCTGTTCTCCCAGGGCTTGTGCACTGGTGGAATGTCAGTCTTTCACCTACTCAGATGCCCAGCCCTGAAGTCATGGAGTTCCCTAGTAGATGGGGCCTGAAGGGGAGAGAGGGGACAAGAAGCAAATTCTGGGAGTTGGACCTCTGTGGACACTAGTCTGCAGATAGGTGTGGCCTGAGCTCATGGGAGCTGGACTGGTCCCCTGAGTCTGGCCCTTCTGCCCCAGGTCCTAGCAGGCTGCCCCCTCCTCCCTCCCATCCCACCAGTCTATCCCCTCTAGAGCAGCAGTCTGAACAGTGACCTGCCGGTGGTGGGGACATGAGGCCTGAGGCTGCTGCAGCTCATGCTGTGCCTTGGCAGGTACCCCACCCCCACCTTAGTTCTCCCCCCTGTTGAGAGCACGGGGTGGGCTGACAGTCTCTGAGGACGTCCAAGCCCACTTCCTGGGCTCCCAGGTGCTGAGTTAGGGAACAACCAGAGCAGGAAGAGCAGCCACTGTGCAGGGGCTGAGGCGCCAGCACTTCACAAGGATCTTCTGATGAATCTTTATTCCGCCCCAGTGTGTCCATGGACAAGTGCCTCCACTCTCCCCTCTCTCCTAACTCAGGATGTCTCCTCAGCCATGGGCAGAATGCTCCCCCACCTGCCACATCAGGGAGGGAGAACAGCTCTTCCTGTGTGCTCTGTGACCTCTCATCTGCCACCTGCAGAGGAACCTCCAGGTGAGAAGCCCTTCTAGTCACCTCAGTAGTGAGGTCCCTTCTGCTTTCGTCCTCCATGGCTGTTTCTCTGGCCATCTCTGGGACCTTTCCTGTCCTTATCAGTGAGATTGTCAGACCCCAACCTCTTTGGGTTGAGGTTCTAGGGGAGGGGCAGCTGTGCTTCCAGCAGACACTGCTGGAACCCTTAGACCCTTTGCTTAGTACTAAGGGAGAGCTGGCTGAGGCCTGCTGGGCCCCATGGGCAGTGGAGGTGCACTAGACACATGAGGTACTATCTCAACAAGGGGGCTGGGCATGGTCAAGGAGGTCTTTCAGGGCAGGGCAGGGCCATGAGGACAGCACAGTCTCTCAGCAGAACACTCCATTCGAACTCCCACAGTAAGACTTGGCTTGACCAACCCTTACATGGTGTCCTGCACCTAAGGTGTAACCCAGCCTCCTTTGAGTTTCTGTCTGAGAAAGCCTGGGGATGTCCAAAGAATGCATCCTCTATTCTAGCCAACACCTGATAATAGGCCCCTGGCCCGCTGCCCCTTCTTAGAGCATTTATATAAACAAACACCAAGAAAGAAAACAACAACAACAACAAAAACCTAAAGCTTACAACTGTGAATCCTTCCAATGTCTCCTGAAATATTGTGTATTGTGTATATCTATATATAGTATTGTATGTATATATATATATGTATACACATATGTATATATATGTACATATCTATTTACATACATGTGTCCTACGGTTCAGAAGTCTTTCCAAGGACTGGAGAGCCATTGCTTTGAAATGTCATCATCAGGAAGGACAGGGCCTCTGTCTCCCAGTCTCTGTGGGAGGTCAGGAGCCCAAGTGCATAACTGCCAGCCAGCAGGCATAGTTGACCTCGTGGCATTTGTGCTAACTAACCTTCTTATCTGCTTTTTGTCATTTCTCACTTCCCTGACTGTCTGGACACCCACCCTCAAGGAACTCGGCTGTGTGTCTCCTACTACTGGGTGTGGGTGTGGGGGGGGGGCTGGATAAACTAGTCCTACTTCATCCAGTGTCCAGCCACGTCCCTCTTCACCAGCGACCTTCTCACAGCTCTGTGCCAGTTTCCTTTCACAAGGAATGGTCATGGTTTTCCCCGGTCATCCAGCCTGGATGTGGCAGAGCTAGTGGGCCAGGCTGCCACCCCAGTTCCTTGTTCCTGGCAAGTAGACCTGGCTACAGCCAGAGTCTGCAGGGATAGTGCAAAACCCCCTGTGGAGAGGAGGGAGTGAGGACCTCTCAGAGCTGGAGCCCTCTGGGAGCGAAGTGGGGTCCTTTGCCACCAGAGTCACTTGGCCAGTCAAGAGAATATGACCAACCGTATCAGGACCAATCCATGGCACCAGTGAAGAAACAGGTTCCCATGAAATGCCTTCTCAGCTGCTCTGCCTGCTGGGCTGGGTTCAAGAACAGCAGACATTTCTTCTGTGGGATGTCTGATTCCAGCCTGGCTCTGCTGAGCAGCCTCTGTCCAAGGTTGTGTCAGTCCCCGTCCTACAGCCCCTGGCCACCTCCACCCTAGGGGATACTTGTAGAACTAACCATTCAATGGATATGTGGGTAGACTAGGACTCTGAATGCTGATGCCACCCTGCATGGCTGTGTGTCCTTGAGATGTCACTACATAACCTCAGCCTCACCTGCAAAAAGAGAATGACAGCACTCCAGATGGACCTAGATGGACATCGTGGGGCGTCGCCCAGCCAGCCTCCTGCCAGCAGAGGGCGATGCAGGCGCCTTACAAGAGCTGCAAGCCTGTCTGGGCTCCCTCCCTGGCGCCTCTCGTCGTGCTGTTTTGCTTCCGGTTGTTACGGAAATCGACGCTCCAAGGGGGACGGAGCTATTTCCGGTTCCTGGGTGGCCGGGGTGGCTTCGGGGCGTCTTCGGGGCGCCAGGTGTGATGGGCGGGAGGTGAGTGGGCCGCGACGCTCGTTGCCCCCTTCCCGCGAGCGCGCGTGTGGCCCCCCGGCTTCCCGCCCGGCCGCTGGGCCATCTCGCCCAGCTCCCCCTCCGACCCCGAGTCCACGCCGGCGTCGCGTGCTGCGCCTGGCCCATCCCTCCGGGGCAGTTCTGAGGCGGGGCTCGTGTCATCCCCGTAGAGCCGCCCCGCCCAGCGCCCGGGCCTGCTGGTCCCCAGTCCAGTGCGGGAGGGGAAGAGAGCGAGTGAATGAGTGAATGAATGAATGAGTTCACGCTGGCCTCCCCGCAGGTGACGCAGCAGCTGGGAGCTGCGAGAGGCAGAGGCAGGATGAACAGGGCCAAGCCCACCACCGTCCGGCGGCCCAGCGCTGCGGCCAAACCTTCAGGTGCGTCATTGTCCCCGCTCCGTGCAACAGGGGCTCCGCGGCGCGGAGGCTGGGCCGGGCCTTAGTGGCCAGCGAACACTGTTTCCAGGAATTGGGTTTAGCAAAGGAGCCCTGGATCCCAAAGCCCGAAAACAACGGTGCCTTTCTCCAGGATGCTGGTCGTCTGGTTTCAGACTGGGTCAGGGTAGTGGATGATGGTGGGTGGGAGGTGGCACAGTGCAGGGGCTAGAGGCACAGACTGAGCCAAATTGCCTGGGCTTACACTCTGGCCTTGCCACTCAGTGCGTGAAGTTGAGTGCATCATCTAACTTCTCTGTGTCTTTTGTCCTCATCTGGAAAGTAGCATCTGTTTCAGAAACTCTTCAAGAATTAAGCAAACTGGGACCAGCAGATGGTGTAATAGTTACGTTGCTGGGCTTCCATGTAGTCGACCACAGTTCAAGACCTGGACCCAGCAGTGGCTTAAAATTCACACTTGGCATGTGTGCATGCATGCTCAAAATCTGGAGAGGAGAATGGAGGAGAAGGGATTGCGGCATGGCCATTCCCTTGGGGGGTGATTTATTGCTTTCTGTTTCTCTGTCTCTTACTGTCTCTCCGGTGAGTGAATGCACAGTATATCAAAAAATAAAAAATAAAAATAATTTAAAAAAAAGAATTAAGCAAACTAATAGTCATAAGTCAGAGGTGGCCTCTTTGCTGTAAACTGTCGATGTTAGCATGCTAGGCCCAGCTCTGCTGGTGATGTGCTCAGTAACCTCGGGCTTGGTTCTTGCCTTCTCCGACCCCTGTCTGATTTCTTCTGAGATGAGGGAGAGGGGTTTGAATTGGTCTTTTCCACCGTGGGCATTGTGCATGTGCAGGTTTTTCTGTCTGCCTTCCCTGCAGGGCATCCCCCACCAGGAGACTTCATTGCTCTGGGCTCAAAGAGTCAGGCCAGTGAGTCAAAAACAGCGTCCACTCTGCTGAAGCCAGCCCCGTCTGGCCTGCCTTCGGAGCGCAAGCGGGATGCTACGGCTGCTTTGTCTGGCTCTTCGGCTCTGACTGGTCTCACCAAACGCCCCAAACTCTCCTCCACACCACCTCTGAGTGCCCTGGGACGCCTGGCTGAAGCTGCAGTGGCAGAAAAACGAGCCATTTCTCCCTCAATTAAAGAACCATCCGTGGTGCCAATCGAAGGTAAAGTTAGTAGGAGGACTTCCCCAGGGAACGTTTTCCACACTGATGTGATCTGCCAGGTTTTCAGCAAAGGCTGCCACTGGGCCTGTCTGGGTGGTGCAGGACATTAGGGGTCTGGGATGAGATGAGTCACTTTAGTAGAGAGCAGTTCCGTGCAGGTGCCTTTACCTCTTTCATACTCAGAATTCTGGTGACTGTCCTTTAGAAACTGTCTCATTCCTTTGCCAGGCATTCCTCTGGAATATCCACTAAGCACCCCCTTGATGACAGGCACTGTTCCGCACCTCGGGGTGGGGGCAGTAAACCTTATGAAGTGAGCCCTAGATCCTTGCTGTCAAAACCATGTGTTCTAGTGTGTTCTCACTCTGGGAGGAGGCAAGGGTACTTCGTTTATCCTTTCTTCTCAGTTACTAACAAAGAGGACTTATTCCCTCACCTTTCCCGGTCAGTGAGGCAACACAGCAGGCTGTGTGGCCTGTTGTTATTGCTGTTGTTTTGAGGGGGAGTATCTGCCCTGTACCCTCTTTGGTGCTATCTATCCTGTGGGGAACTGCCCTAAGAAGGCTAGGGCACTGGTCAGCTGTGGGGCATCACCCTGAGATATGCTTGCTGGGTTTCTAATGGCTTCCTTGGTATGCTGTGGCTTGGGGTGACCTCTGCTCTGGGTCCCCTGCTCTAACCAACCCTCCCGCACCGGCCAGTTCTCCCCACAGTACTGCTGGATGAGATAGAAGCCGCTGAGCTAGAGGGCAATGATGACAGGATTGAGGGAGTGCTGTGCGGGGCGGTGAAGCAGCTGAAGGTCACCCGGGCCAAGCCAGACGGCACTCTGTACCTGAGCCTCATGTACCTGGCCAAGATCAAGCCCAACATCTTTGCCACAGAGGGTGTCATTGAGGTGAGGGCAGGGATGGCGGGCGTGATGGGCCTGGGCTCTTCGCTCATCCCGTCCCTCTCAGTTTGCCTCTGCCTGGGGCCACGCTGGCCTCGCCTTTGCTTGTGGGTGAGGCTGCTGGGTGACTGTGCTTTCTCTCTCAGGCTCTTTGCAGCCTCCTGCGGAGGGATGCCTCCATCAACTTCAAGGCCAAGGGGAACAGTCTGGTGTCCGTGCTGGCCTGTAATCTTCTCATGGCCGCGTACGAGGAGGACGAGAACTGGCCCGAGATCTTTGTCAAGGCAAGTGGCTTCTCCCGGGAGGCTCGGTGAGGTGACTATCACTGCTCTGGTGGTAAAGAGAGCTGAGCACAGTGCCCTAGGAGGAAGGGTGGCCCCACCAGAGGCCCTCGCAGGAAGAGGAAGCAAACCGGATTCGTTCTGTCCAGAGGGGCATGTGTCTGATGGCCCCAAGGTGTGTTGTGTCATTGTCTTTTCTGCACCGGGAAGCTAGCAAGCATTTGTAGGGCACCCTCAAGCAGTAGGGAGCAGGCCAGACAGTGTGCCGGGCTCTCTGGGCACACCTGAGGGTGTTGTTCGTCCTGCAGGTATACATCGAGGACTCCCTAGGGGAGCGGATCTGGGTGGACAGCCCTCACTGCAAGACATTTGTGGACAACATCCAGACGGCGTTTAACACCAAGATGCCCCCCAAGAGCATGCTGCTGCAGGGGGAGGTGGGGCGCAGTGGGGGGGACCTCGGTGCTGGTAAGAGACACAGGGTTGAGGGAGAGGTGGGGGACAGGAAGGGGTGTGCAGTCTGAGGTGGAGGCTGGGACACTCTATGAGTGTTCTGTTGTCCATGCAGGGAGCAGCCCTCACCCCTCCCTCACAGAGGAGGAGGACAGCCAGACAGAGCTGCTGATCGCGGAGGAGAAGCTGAGCCCCGAGCAGGAGGGCCAGCTCATGCCCAGGTAGGTGTGCTGCACAGCCCTGGTCCCCTTGGCTGTGGCTGGGAGGCAGGCTGGGCGGGGCGCCTCCAGGACAGCTTTCCTTCCTTCCTTCCTTCCCCCCTCTGGCCTAGGTACGATGACCTCACAGAGAGTGTGGAGGAATATGTTCTAGACATGCTCCGGGACCAGCTCAACCGGCGCCAGCCCATTGACAATGTCTCGAGGAACCTCCTGCGGCTTCTCACCTCCACCTGTGGCTATAAGGAGGTGCGGCTGATGGCAGTGCAGAAGTTGGAGATGTGGCTACAGAACCCCAAGGTGAGTCGGAGTGGGAATGGATCACGTGCCTTCCTGCCAGATCCCACCAGTCTGAGACTGAGGTCAGTCAGGTTCTTCCCATCCTCCCCTGCAGCTGACTAGGCCAGCCCAAGACCTGCTCATGTCCGTGTGCATGAATTGCAACACGCACGGCTCGGAGGACATGGATGTCATTTCTCACCTGATCAAGATCCGCCTCAAGCCCAAGGTTCTCCTGAACCACTACATGCTGTGTGTCAGGTGTGCTGCAGGCAGGGTGGAGGTGGGGTTGGCCCCGGGCTGGGTCTACTTACTTGCCTTGCTCTTTTGTCCAGGGAGCTGCTGAGCGCTCCCCAAGGTGAGTCGGAGTGGGAATGGATCACGTGCCTTCCTGCCAGATCCCACCAGTCTGAGACTGAGGTCAGTCAGGTTCTTCCCATCCTCCCCTGCAGCTGACTAGGCCAGCCCAAGACCTGCTCATGTCCGTGTGCATGAATTGCAACACGCACGGCTCGGAGGACATGGATGTCATTTCTCACCTGATCAAGATCCGCCTCAAGCCCAAGGTTCTCCTGAACCACTACATGCTGTGTGTCAGGTGTGCTGCAGGCAGGGTGGAGGTGGGGTTGACCCCGGGCTGGGTCTACTTACTTGCCTTGCTCTTTTGTCCAGGGAGCTGCTGAGCGCTCACAAGGACAACTTGGGCACAACCATTAAGTTTGTGATCTTCAATGAACTTTCCAATGCCCGGAACCCAAACAACATGCAGATCCTCTACACTGTGCTGCAGCACAGCTCGGAGCTGGCACCCAAGGTGGGGCCCACAGGGCACTGGCAGCCGTGGGAGGCGAGCATCCCCTGGGTCCGGGCAGGCCTCAAGCCTGATACTGCTCCTCTGCACTGACTGGAGCGGCGCGTGTGGCATCATCTATCATTTGAGTGCTGTGGTAGTGCCAGGGCAGTGTGCCCAGGGTCCTGGAGGGGGCGAGAGCTTTGGAAGCACAGTGGAGTTTGACTTTGAGTTCTAGAGAAGGTACAACTGTGATCCCTGATGTCTTTCTTGAGAACTGAGACTCAGTTCAGGAAGGAGCAGTACTGAACCCTTTAAAAAAGCTATCAAAGTTTTCAAGCCAGGCACCCCTCAGCCTTCCTAAATGGCGCTTTTCTGCAAATTAAGCAGGGGTCCCTATGGCCCTCCAGGCCTGCCTTTGGGTCTTGGTCATGGGGCCCCTTGGATTCAGACATCTCTTGAAGAGAAGGACTAGAAAAGCACCCTTTCTGACACACGGGGTTAGCAGTGTGTGAAAGGACAAGGTTGGCGTGTGCCGGTTCCGATGATCGGGCTGCCATCTCCATAGCCCAGCACGTTAGGAGAATTGGTGGGTCTATGATTTCAGGTGGGGATCTTCAGTTCTGCCGTCCAGTTTCAGGTCGAGGGTGGGTAGGAGCTGAGGTGGCAGGTCCATTTCTGTGGCTTCGCTGCCTTATGTTTGGTGCCGCCCCCCCCCACCCCTCATTGTGTGTCATCATAGTCTAGTCCATTTTTTAACAAGGACTATCCTGTGTGCCATCTGCTGAGAGAATGGGTTGACTTAGTCCCTGCTCTCTCCGCTCTCTGTCCCAGAACAAGGTGCTCTGTGGTGCCCTCACCTGATTGTGCTTCAGAGGAGGGCTTTCTCCTCGGATGGTTCTATGGAGGCTTCTTCCAGGGTCAAGGAAGGCCTTGATGGCAGGAAGGCCTCTGTTACAGAGGATGCTGCTTGTGGTGAGGGCCCTGTTTGGGAGCCACCATCCAGCAGCGCCTTGTGTGGCCTCTCTCTGCCCAGTTCCTGGCCATGGTGTTCCAGGACCTCCTGACCAACAAGGATGACTACCTGCGAGCCTCACGGGCCCTGCTCCGGGAAATCATCAAGCAGACCAAGCACGAGATCAATTTCCAGGCCTTCTGCCTCGGGCTCATGCAGGAGCGCAAAGAGCCCCAGTACCTGGACATGGAGTTCAAGGTGCCTCGGTTTTCTTTGTTTGTCACAGATGGTGTCACCTTGCTACTCCCCACAGCCTGCCTCTGCTGGGACTGCATGCTTGTCTTTCAGCCCAGGTCACAGCTTAGCTCTCTGGTTGTGGGTACACCCACATGCCCACATGTCTGCTGTGGGGGCTGAGTCGTGGGTGAGATGAGTGACGGTCGTTCTCGGCAGCTGGTCCTGAGGGGTAGTGTGGGCTCCACCCTGGGCCCTCCATAATGTACCTGCCGTGGTGTGCTCTGCCTGCAGGAGCGGTTTGTGGTCCACATTACAGACGTGCTGGCCGTGTCCATGATGCTGGGCATCACGGCTCAGGTGAAGGAGGCTGGTGTTGCCTGGGACAAAGGAGAAAAGAGGAGTAAGGACGTGGGACAGGCTCAGCCCTCCTTAGTCAGGGTCTTGGCAGGGACAGTAGGGCCATGCTGCTGATAGGCACTCCCAGAGTTGCAGGCAGGGGCTGCCAGAGGGCGGGGGTGGGGTGGGGGAGTGGCTGTCATCTCACAGCATAGCCACTAGAGAAGATAAGGAAGCTTCTGGAAACTGTAGTTCCTTGGTTCTGCTCTTCTAGACGGAACATCAAGCACTGCCCGTGTTGTTTGCCTTAGAATGCTGATATCCTGTTGTGGCTGCACTTCAGGTTTGGTGGCCAAGGACAAGGAGGGAAAGAAGGGAGATGGTGTTTAGCTCCGCCTCGTTTGTTTCCTGATTAATTTCACTAGGAAGTGTGGCCACAGAGGCCGTTTAAGTGATTGGCTAGAGTGAAATCATGTGGAACCTGGGGATTCCAGTTTCCCAATCTTTCGTGGACCCTCATCCCTCGTTAGGATTGTTGGTGACTCCCTGGAGTATATTCCAGCTGAGCTAGCGTCCGTCTCCACGGTCCCTAACTGGTTGAGATGCTAGGATGCTCCACGTCAGTGCCTTGTGACATCCAGCCTCCCTCCTAGTGCTTGGCCTTGAGCTAGACCCAGTGGGCATTTGTCGCCTCGGACTGCGTGGGCACACGGAGGCACTAAGTCTGCTTGTCCGTTTCAGATCTCGAAGTGCTGCGCTCGTTCCAGAACCAGATCGCTGCGATCCAGCGGGATGCTGTTTGGTGGCTTCACACAGTGGTCCCTTCCATCAGCAAACTCGCCCCCAAGGACTACGTGCACTGGTAGGCCCCAGGATGTCGACAGCTACTTTCCAGAACCCCCGCCCGTGCTCCTGCCGACCTTCCCAGCAGCCTTCTGACGGCGAGCAACAGGAACCTGTCACCTCCGTGTGTGCATAGCAGCAGTCCCCCATGGACATAAGCCATCCTGCGTGTGCTTTGCACTCTCACATGGAGCCCCTGCTTCCCGGTGGGTGGGGCTGTCTGGGTCACATTTCTCTCACAGTGATTTGGTAAACGCACTACTGTTGCCACCCACCATCCTGCCACCTACTCTTACAAGTGTCACAGTTAGTGCCGTGAGGAGGTACCAAGCTTAGCAGTCACATGGCCCCTGCCTTGAGCTTTTCAATGTCAATAGCTTTGAACCCAGTTGAGCCTGTGGGAGGGGGCCCTCACTTAGGGCCAGTAGAATGGGGACAGTCCCCTGAGCACCAGTATCCTAACTGATCTCTCCTGCCCCCTCTCTTCCCTCAGCCTCCACAAGGTGCTCTTCACAGAGCAGCCGGAGACCTACTACAAGTGGGACAACTGGCCTCCTGAGAGTGACCGCAAGTGAGCACCGCCATGGGTGGGAGGGTCTAGCTGTGGCTGGTTTGCTGCTGCCAGCCAGGGCGACTGCAGTAAGCCCTGGGCAGAGTCTGGAGCCAGCTGTTTGTTCTCACTGGGCAGCGGCCTGCCTGCAAACCCTGGGTGCTTCTCTTCTCCATTGGTGTCTGTAGAGCCACCTACTCCCAGTGATTCAGCCTGTGCCCAGCCTGTGCCCTAGCTCCTGCCTTCTCGACATTGCTCAGGACATACATGGGCACCTCACCCTCCACACATCCCTGAACCCTGTCGGCCCCTTACTTGCCTCCAAACAGCCACAGGCACTGTCCTTCCTCAGTCTCCAATGTAGGGGCTCTGTGTCTCTCTAGCCTGGTTGGGCCCTGTGCATGTTCTAGAATCACACCCTCCTCCATCCCCACCTGGAGTTCCTGTTGCCCAGTCCAGCTCGCTCATCTCTGACCCACTCTGAGCCCCTTTGCTCCCCTTCATGCAGCAGTTTTTAGTTATACTTTAGAGGGTTCTGCACAGTGTCTCTGGCCACTGGCTCTGAGTTCCTTAGGGGTGGGAATTATTTCAAAGTCTTCATGGGATGACAGACGCTCAGTCCTGGTGGCATAAGGAACAAGACACTGTGCCCATAGCTGCCAAAGCACTGGTGGGTAACTTCTGTTCTTGCCCTACCCGGACAAGACTTAGAGCTGGGCTTCTGTCCCCCAAGGTGGTACTCAGATCTAAGAGGAGCAAACATGTGGGGAGATGGGCAGTCCCTCCTCCTCTGGCCTTGGCACGTGGCTGCAGGGAGCTCTACTCGGGCCCTGGCAGGTTTGGGGTCAGCCCCCACTGAGCCCAGCCTTTTCCTGTGCTGCCCACAGCTTCTTCCTGCGCCTCTGCTCAGAGGTCCCCATTCTGGAGGACACACTGATGCGCATCCTAGTCATCGGACTGTCTCGGGAGCTCCCGCTCGGCCCTGCAGACGCCATGGAGCTCGCTGACCACCTGGTGAAGCGTGCTGCAGCCGTGCAGGCGGATGGTAATGGTCTCTTGGGCTTTGCCCAAGAGGTTTATCCTGGACTGCTCTAGTGCTGGCTCCTGTGCAGGGCAGAGATCCCCTTGCCCCTGTGGAAGCCATCTGGCGCCAGTACATGCCTCTGCAGATACTGCAGATGCAAGTCTGCCCACTTGGGGAAGCCATGGTCGGCTGGATTTCACACCCCTCTGCTCCACTGTAAATTGTTCCCTGCAAGGATTGGGGATTCCGAAGTGCATGTGTCTTTGGTGAGGATTTGGTTTTGGCATTATTTTTGAAATTTATCTTGGTGTTTGCACATGTTTTCTGTGTGATTGAACCACAACAGCACTTGTGTCAGACTCACCCCTGAAAGGGTCAGGAGAATGGTCTTTAACCTGGCACGTCAGTTTCCTGGGAGCCAAGACTCGAAGCCTACAGTATGGCAATTAGGCCTCAATGACTTGAGGGCTGCTCCTCCCTTCTCTAGGCTATCCCTGGCTGGCAACTCTGCCCTAATAGGTCATGCTTTCTCACATGGCTGCTATACCCTTTCCAGGCTGTACCTCCCCCCGACCAAGACCCAGCTGACATGCCCCCAGGTGAAAATGTCCTTCAGTTTCCCAGTCAAAATCAAAATGCTGCCTCCACTGCCCTGGCTCAGACCTGCTGCCTGGTCTCCAGGTGCACCCTGTCCTGTGATACCCCCAGTCAGTTTCCCCACCTGCCCTCTTCTGTTGGACAGGACCATGTCTTCCCACTCTCCGATTCCTGAGGGTGAACCATGCACCTTGATTGTGCAGTGAGTGAACTGATGGGCTTCTGGAACCTGTGTGTGGCTCTTGGGTTTTAGATGTGGAAGTGCTCAAGGTGGAGAGAATCCAGTTGATCGATGCTGTACTGAACCTGTGCACCTACCATCATCCGGAGAACATCCAGCTCCCACCTGGGTAAGACTCAGCCTCAACAGCCTGGCAGCCCTATGCTTGCCCTACCCCTGGCTGCCCCCAGGGCGAGCTCTTGGTAGGCCGTGCTCAGAATTGTGAGGCATAGCTGGGTGCTGAATGACACAGGCTCTGTTCACCCACTGTGATCTGGATTCAGGTAATCCCTTTCTCTTTCCTCCTTAGCATCTTTAATTCATTCATACTTTTCCTGGTGTGTTAACAGATACATGCTTTATGTATGTATATATTTGTTATTTCTAAAATTTGTCTAAGGGCACATCTGCTTGTCAGAGGGAGAGGGAGTAAGCACCACTCACTCCCCCCTGGTCACGCCACTATCCCTTCTCTATTTCTTCGTCCTGTTGGGATTTTGGGCACACACACACACACACATAAGCTCAAAATGTTTTTAAAGCTGGTGGGGTCAGGATTTGAACTGCAGTTGGCCATGAGAGATCTGGTTTCCTTAACCACTAGTCCACAGGGCTGGCCTAACATCCTTAGACAACAATGAATTTATGACCTATTTGTTAATGGTTTATAATTTATATACACTTCATTTGTTTAAACTGGGCAACTCTGTTTTTTAGTATGCTTACAGGTTGTGCAGCCTTCACTAGGATATGACTTTAGAGCTTTTTCATCCCCCTGAAAGAAACGATTATGTAAAAATGTGTCACGACTTTCCCAATGACCCAGTAGTACTCATTATTGCTCCATTCCTCCCTCTTTCCCCTCCCCCTCATGACAGTCCTCAGCAACCACAGATCTACTGTCATTGCTATGGATTTGTCTGTGTTGGACAGTCTGTATCAATGGAATCACAATATGAGGTCTTTTTTGATGGCTTCCCTTGGCATGGCCTTTTTAAGATTCGTCCATGCTGTAGCTTGTGTCAGTACTTCTTTTTTTTTTTTTTTTAATGGCTCATTGGGTGGGTGTACTATGATTTGTTTATCCACTCACACAGTCAGTGACCACCTTTGACTGTTGTGAATAGTGTGGCTGTGAACAGTAGTGTGCAAGTTTCATGGTTTCAGTTGTCTTGAATAAGTACCAAGGAATGGGATTGCTGGATCACAATTATTTTATTTTATTTTATTTTTAACAGCACTGTGCAGCTTTATTAACCATTCAAGTACAGTAGCATCTCGTAGGATCGGGGCAGAACTGGGATGGAAAAGTGAACAGATATTCAGCATCTAACAGTTCCAAAAAAGCCACTACATACTCTTCTTCACACACAGGATTTCACAGAGCCAATACAGTACTAGCCATTAAGCCAGCACACCGAGTGCGCTGAAGTAGAAAAGATGCAACGAGAAAAATAGCTACATTAGAAAGACCTTCAACACTTGGGAACCAGCAGTTAGCGTAATGGCTATGTCGCTGGACTCCCATGTAGTCGACCGCGGTTCACGTCCCGGACCCGGTGGCTTAAAACTCACGCCGGGCGCGTGTGCGTACGCGCCCAAGATCCCGAGAGGAGAATGGAGGAGAAGGGATTGCGGC